AGAAACGGTGAGCGTACCTGGTACCTGGGGCTGGTTTCTCATGCTGCGCTCCCTAAAAGGAGCCGGGAGTCCTTGCAGGGACGGCTGTTCCCAGGGCTGGGGAGGAGGTGTAAGATAAGCCGGGGACGTCTTGTGCCGAAAAGCAGGGCTGTGTCAACAGTAAAGGGGCTGGTCCCATGGTAACACTGGTAGCGGCTCATGGCGGCCGGCACCTGAATCCCTGGTCTGATCCGCCTGAAGGACGCACGGGCACACGGAGCACCTGCAGCCAACAGCTGGGGGACTGGAGGAGGGGACTGGCGAGACAGATCCTGTGGAGGATGCTTCTCTTTCTCAGTATTTCTCTCTCTCTCATGTGTCTGCATGTGTTCCCTCATGAACAAGGGAAAGTGTACCGGGGATTACTCAAAAGAGTTCTCAGAACCATCTTGAAGGGGTTCCCACTGGTCAGATCCGAGATCATTTAAACATCACGGGAACCAATGTTGGGGCTGGCTCCATAGTGTAGTGGTGAAGCACTGTGGAGTGGGCTCCAGATCCCACATGACTGACCAAGGTTCCAATCCTGGCTCCATCAGTCTGAAAAAGACACCAGGGGCATGTGCGTGTGTGGCCCAAATTCTGGTGGGAGGGAGACATGGGGAGAAGGGATTGTGCCATGACTGTGCTCCGTGGAGGATGCACTCTCTTTCTCTCTGGCGCGCACACACACACACACACACACCTTCTGGCAATTAAGAAAGAAAGGAAAATGTTAGGAATAGACTATAACCAACGGGCTAAAACAGGAATCTGAGTTTAAAGAGATATAATTAAATACAAGGAGGAGAAGTGACAGCCCTTCCTATGGCAAAATGCCAAGTAATAAACAGGTGGAATGATAGCATTAGAAAATCAGTATCTGGTGGGGCCAGCAGGTAGTATAGGGGTTGGGAGCGCTGGACTCCCACATGGCTGACCGCGGTTCAAGTCCTGGACCCGGCAGCTTGCTTTCTCACTTTTTCTTACTCCCTTACTCTCTTGTCCTTCTCTGGTCAAATTTAAATAAATAAATAAAATTAAATAAATAATTCTTCTTAATAGTTATTTAATTGTATTCATGATCATCATCATTATTTTTTTAGATTTTACCAAAGAGAGACAGGGAGAGAGAAAGAAAGTGAGAAAGCAAGCCACCAGGTCCAGGACTTGAACCACAGTCAGCCATATGGGAATCCAGCACCTTAACCATCATGCCACCTGTCAGCCCCAATTAAAGAATTATTTTAAAAGAAAAGAAAGTCACTGGTAACCGTCATGGTAGTTTATTCAGGCAAGAATCCTTGGTGAAAACAAGGAGTGAAAGTTTATCGAAGAACAGGCTTGTGGCTTGCTCTCGCTCACTTGCTCGCTCTGCCTCTGGTCAAAATTGAAAAATAATGGTAATATATAAATCTTAAAAAGAAAGAAAGAAAGAAAGAAAAGAACAGCCTATTGACAGAGAACCTCCCCACAAAACACGTGCTAACTATGAAGTGCAATAACAGTGCTTCCCAGCGGGGAAACACGGAAGGCCCTTCCTTACGAAGTGACCAGGGTCACCTCAGCAGGACCGACACTGCGCCTCCTGACGCAGGGCCGAGAGGCAGGCGACATTCCGTGGGAAAACCCGGCCAACCCAGCCGGCAGGACGTCCTACAAACCAGCTCTCCCAAACCGACGAGGTCTCAGGAGACCAGGGAAGACTGAAGAACTGTTAAGGTTAGGAAATGTGACTGCTAAAGGCAACTGAGCTGCAGTGGAGCCTGGCCCAGGAGGAAAGCGCTTCCTGTGATGACCTATACAGGGCTGCCCCGTGGTGCCGTGCTTCAGGGAGCCAGATCCCACACGGCCACCTACAGTTCGAATCCTGACGTGGTGGCTTGAAAAACACACCTGCACGTGTGCATGAATGGCCCTGATCTCCAGGGATGGGGAAGGGATTGCAGTGTGACCACGCCCCACTGGGGAATGCTTTGTCTCTTTTGTCTGTCTCTAGTGAGCACACCCACCTTCTGACAATTAAAAAAAAAAAAACAAAACATGAGGGCCAGCAGGTGGCGTGGTGTTTAAGGCACTGGACTCCCACATGGCCAACCGCAGCCTGAATCCCAGGGTGGCGTGGTGTTTAAGGTCTCTCTCTCTCTCTCACTCTTTCTCTCTCTCTCGTGAGTACACATGCCCTATAGCAAATTCAAAAGGAATAATACATAAAATGAAATGAATAATTCTGTAAAAACAAAAAGACTCGCACAATAAATATCCCAAGCTCCTGTTCCCTGGAAGTGCGGACACACTAGGTCTTCCGAGAAAGAGGGAGAGCCCTTGCATTCTCCTTGTTGCAGCCAGGACTGCTTTTCCAGATGCTGAGTAGTCACCTGTACTTTCTCTGAGGCATCTGCTCCATGTCCTTTATCCACTTAGATACTCACTGTGAGCATTTACAGTCTCGCTATCGATCTCTTGTCTTAATTTTTTGATTAATAAAGTAAAACAGTTTCCTTGTTTAAAAAGTAAATATGAATCGTACAAAAGGATCCAAAAGCGAAAGCGAGAAGCTCTCTCGTCTTTCCACCCTACTCCCGGATTGTTCTTTCTCGTTGCACTTTTGGAAGTTTGCCTCCCACTCTGTCTCCTGCCTTTTAGTCTGAACTTGCCAAGTATTTCTCTGAATTGCTCACGCAGGAAAGTAGGTGTTTTAGTGGCCCAGTAAAGCAGGGCCTATGGGGAAAAGACTATGCGAATCCATGCAGATTTCATCAATGTGTATTTATGTTCAAAAGCTACATTTATGCATGAAGACCTTGGGTGAAGGGGACGGGATCTCACCCGCATGGCCGCCGTGCAGGTCACACCCTGGACCCGCAGCTAGAGAGGCATGCTGGCTGTGCGCCCCAAATCCTGAGAGGTTGGAGAACAGGAGGAGAGGGGATTGTGGCATGAGCACCCCGTTGGGGGATGCTGTCTACCTCTTTCTTTCTCTCTGCCCCTTTCTCTGCCTCTCTCTGGCTCTTTCTACATGCCTGCTGGTAGAATGTTTAAAAAGAATACAAAGACCTTACCGCAAAGCACGTCCAGAAGTGAGTGATGCGTAATTCATGACTACAGCTCCATACAGTGAGCTCATGGCTTAAACTCTGGTCTGTTGGAAGCCACAGCATAATCGTTGGTGCTATCCTTGGATTTAAACACACACACATGCACACGCACAACGCATACTTGCACTCACTTCTTGAGTGCCAGACCCAGTGGCTTGAAAAACACACCAGGTATGTGTGTGCGTGCCCAAAATCCCAACAGGAGACATGGAGAGGGGATTGTGGTGTGTCCATCCCTGATGAGGGCTGCTTTCTCACTTTGCCCCCTTCTTGCTTTTTCTCCTCCAGTGAACACACATGCCCTCTAACAAATTAAACAGAACAGGGACTAGCAGATGGCAGAATGATTACATCGCCGGACTCCCACAGAGTGGACCACAGTCCAAGTCCCGGACCTGGTGGCTTAGACCACATGCCCGGAGTGTGTAGGTGCATAGCCAGATCCCAAGAGGAGAATGGAGGAGAAGGGATTGTGATGTGGCCATCCCCCTTGAGGGGTGATTTCTTGCTTTCTGTCTGTCTGACTGTCTCTGTCTTTTCGGCAAATGCATGTGCCTGTAGCAAAAATCTTTCTCAAAAGAAAAAAGGGAACAAAACACAGAAGACCTTTATCAGCCTTTGGATGGATGGATGGGTGGATTGATTGATTGATTGATTTTAAGTTTGCTGTAGGATGTTTGTGATCACCAGAGAGAGTGAAAGAGAGGGAGGGAAAGTGAGAAAGCAAGCCACCAGGTCTGGGACTTGAACCAGTTGGCCCTGTGGGAGTCCAGCGTCTTAACTGTCACACCCCTGCTGGCCTGGCCTTTGGTTTTATTGCCAGTGTGAATTGAATTTGGTATTTGGCTGAATTGTGTGTTGTGCAGCCCAGGAGGGTAGAGGTGAGTGAGCCTCAAAAGGTGAACTACCTGAATCTTTGCTGGTTTTTTTAATCCTTTATGGGATAATAGGATTGTATAATAGAATGAAAAGGCCCCAGGGAGTATTTTTAGAACTGTCTTGTTTTATGAGCAAGAAACAAGTGCTTGGAATGTCATAGCCATTCAATAAACGTTGAATTAATAGGTGAGTTAAAAGAGGTCCATAGGTGGCTGGTGGTTAAGGTGTTGGACTCCCACATGGCTGATGGCAGTTCAAATCCCAGACCTGGCAGCTTGCTTTTTTACTTTACCCCTTTCTCTCTGATGACTATAGCAAGTTAAAAAAAAAATAGTAAGATAAATAATTCTTTATGAAAAACCTAGAGAGTTTATGACCGTTACTTACCCCCTTCAGTTAGTGACGGGTGGTCTCCGGTTTGAGTGACGGAGCAGTGCCTTAGAGCAGAGCTGTCCCTCCTCATGTCACAAGCATCTGCTGAGTGCCTCACGTGCCCTGTTCTCAAGGTGGCACTGGGTCATCGGGACAGTCATGACGCACTTCTGCATAGAAAAACCCAGAAAGATACATCGTCATGTCCCATCGTGGCTTTTTCCTAACATGATTTTGTATGGTTTACTTTTACTTTTTATACTGTTCGTTGTTGTTGTCAGAGAGGAGGCACCCTGGTGGGTCAAGGGCACCCCACAGTCCTCTTTCTTCCACTTCTCCCGCCAGGATTGGATGCACACACGGACCGCGTCGGCACGGTTCTCGGGCCCCACCCCTGCACCCAGTGGGCCATGGGATCCGCTCCCTGCTCCTGGCCGCCCTGTGATGTGTGTAACTCAGGCCCACAGGTCCGACGCCGTGCAGGTCCGGAGTGCTTCACGAGCTGGCCGGGTACCCCCCCCCTGCCCTTCCCTGCCAGCCGCTCTTGCCGTCTCGCAGCCTCGGGGCGGGCACATGGGTGGAGAGTGGGCCTCTCTCTGGACTTGTTATGACTGAACTTTTTTTTTTTTCCAGCTGGAAGAAGAGAGATCGGTGCTCAATAATCAGTTATTAGAAATGAAAAAGAGGTAGGCTCTCCTTCTGTATTTATTGCGTGTGTGCGTGCGTGTACATGTATGTACACATGTGTGCGTAATGAGGAAAATGTCAGAGCATGACACGTATGATAACTTGCGGTACAAACCGGGCGACCTTGTGGGATTCAGAAAATGGCATTGTGAGAGTTGAGTACTCATAACTGACAAATTACAAAGATCCGTTCTAGAAGCTTCACTTACTAAAACAAAGAGAGGTTAAATTTTAAGCCATGTGCAGTTGCTTTTGCTCAGAAGCGTCCTAAAACTGGATTGTTTCATAGCACACTGCTGTTACCAGCTAGCTTCAGTAACTAAAAGTGCTGTCATTTTACATGTCATAATTAATCCACATAGAAATACTGATTTCAGTTACATTAAAATGTTAGTTTTACAATTAAAAATGGGTAATACCACTTTAAGTATTTCTGTCTGTTTTCTTAAAAATAGATATGTTATTTCTTTTTCGTTTTTTGTTTTTTAACATGAGAGAGCTTTTTGCCATAGGGCACATGTGCTTGCCAGAGAGACAGAAAGCAAAAAAATCACCCCCCCACCCTCCCCCCAGGGGGATGGCCACACCACAGTCCCTTCTCCTCCATTCTCCTCTCAGGAGCTTGGGCACGCACGCACACACGGCCAGCATGAGTTTAAGCCACCGGGTCTGAGACAAGAACCGCGGTCGACTACACGGGAGTCCAGTGACATAGCCGTTACACCAACTGCTGATTCCGTAGATTTGTTATTTCTTATTCTGCCATGATAGTCAAATGACATTCTGATGGGAACCTGGTATAATTTCCCAGTACTTTTAAGTAAGGGTACACGTGGCCCACAGAAACACCTGCCCAGGAGCCCGGAGCTTACCGTCCTGACGTTCTCCTTCTGCCCTGTAAGACGTGTGGCTTTGCCCAGAGAAGCCGTGCTCACACTCATGCCAAGCAGGTTTTTGTTGACACGCTCACCCCGTGGCTGCTGCAGAATACCAAGCAGAGCCCCATCACAACAGTCATGCATTCTTGCTGATTGAAAAGCAAAACTGAAAAACGAACCTTTAGGAATGGCGGAACCAAGAACTCCTGCTGTTCTTGCGAGGCGCCCTACTCCTGAGTCGGGGCAGAGGGGTTTCCTACTGACGTTCCAATGCGTGTTTCATGCCGGCAGTTGCTTAGGGATCAAGAGCTTAATTTGAGCCACAAAGATAACTGGATTCCATAAGCGACCTTATCCAGGACATTAGGCCTCCACTCAGGGTGCCGGGCCTTCTTTCTTTCTTTTTTCTTTTAGAGGTTTTTCCTATAGGGCGAGTGTGCATGCCAGAAAGAGAGACAGAGAGATAGAAAGCGAGAAATCACCCCAGGGGGGATAGTCACGCCGCAATCCCTTTTCCTCCATTCTCCTCTCGGAATCGTGGGCACACATGTACATGCGCCTGGCGTGAGTTTAAGCCACCAGGTCTGGGACTCGAACCACGGTCGACTACATGGGAGTCCAGCGACAGAGGTATTACGCCAACAGCTGGTCCAGCCTTCTTTCTTTTTAAGGAAGTACTTAGATTCGTACTTCTTTCCCGTGCTGAGGTGGTGTTCAAACTTCACAAGGCACGTGGATCTCATCCCTGCCACACCCCTGGCCCTCCTAGGTGTCCTCCAGAGTCCCCGAGTCTGGTGTGTCGTGCCCTAACCTAGTTCAGGAACAGCGCTGTCCCACCTGGGCTTCAGAGTATTGCATTTCCGTGTAAACAAGGTTTGGATAAGAACCTGGTACATGCAGTTATCAGGGACACGTGGAGAAGTGAACGGAGCTCCTGCTGTGACATCCCGGCAAGGGGACATTTGAAATCAGGCTGGGGCGTGTGCTGACGTCGCCCCCCCTTCATTTATGTAGCAGTTCATACTCACCCACTCACCCACTCTCAGCACACATCAGTGACAAACCCAGTGGGGCCTGCATCTTAAAACAATGAAACTAAAGCCCCAGGAGTTGGGCCACATGGCCAAGGACTCGGGGCCACAGTAAGTGTCAGGTGCAGTCTTCAGACTCGGACCTTGGGGTTGGCTTGGGGTTCTCCTCTGTGTTTAGGTATTTGTTTATGATTTATCTTTTTTTTTTTTTGAGAGGTTTTCGCTATAGGGCGCGTGCGTGCATGTGTGTCCAACATCTTGAGAGGAGAATGGAGAAGGGATAGCAGCATGGCCATTCCCTCGGGGAGTGTCTTCTTACTCTCGGTCTCCTCTGTCTCTCTTCTAAGCGTACATGTCCTCTAGCAAATAAAACAAAAAAAAAGTTAATAAAATTTTTAAATAAATTTGTTTATGATTTATCTTTTTTTTTTTTTGAGAGGTTTTCGCTATAGGGCGCGTGCGCTCGCCAGACAGACAGAGAGAGACATAGAGACAGAAAGCGAGAAATCACCCCCACGCCGCAATCCCTTCTCCTCCATTCTCCTCTTGGGATCTTGGGCACGCACGCACACGCGCCCGGCGTGAGTTTTAAGCCACCGGGTCTAGGACGCGAACCGCAGTCAACTACGTGGGAGTCCAGCGACATAGCCATTACGCTAACTGCTGGTTCCCTATGATTTATCTTTTTAAGAAGAGTCTGCTTCATTAGTTCTTACATAGCATGTGACTCTAAGGTGATTACATGCCCTTCAAAATTGGAGTAGGCACGTGACTTTTTTTCATGGCTTAAAGAGACGGAGCAAGCCCAGAGACTGACAGTCCTCTCTCCGCACTTCACTCTCCCGCCCCCATTCTGTATCCTGGATATTGAGGAGAATGTCTCTGAAAAATGACTCTCCATTTTGGTCAGCACATGTAGATAAAGGTGACAATTTTTTCTGGGAATGACCATCTTAAAAATCCAGTTTCTCCTATTTAGAGCTGTTTTTTATTTGTTGATTATGCCTGTTGGAAAATTATTTTTACTTTAGAAACCTGCATGTTAAATATATTTTAGCTCACAATCTGTACCTTTACATGCCTCCTAAAAGTCAGTTTGGTAAAAGAGTCATGTGTAAGTCTGTACGTAATGGTCCCATAAATTTACCAAGCAGAGAGTGTTGAAAAGAACTGGATACGATGTTCGCTTCAGAGCTGTGCAGGGACTTAAATCCTAAAGGTACTGGAAGTGTAGCTGTTCCCAAAAGAACAGAGTTGAGTCAACAGTGTCATATAAAAGTCCTCATTGTCACCCAGGCAGGGTGACCTGTAATCAGGTCATTCAAGTGGCCGTGCTAACCAAGGGCAGAAATTACCTGTGATCACTCAGACACCACTAGCACCCTGCTGTATCCGCTGTGGTCTCTGTTGTCTGGAAACACCAAGTTGCAAGCAAGATATAATAGAGGTTTTTCGCTAAGCTTCAAAAGGTAATCATTTCTTTAAAAAAAGAGAAAAATTGGTCTCCACGTCGAGGGGACCTCTTTTGAAACAGATTAATAGATAGCGCAGAGCAGACTTCGGACTGCTCTCGTCTGCAGACCTGGAGAGGGCCTCGGGACCGCCCTCGCCTAACGCAGAGCTGGGGTCTGGTTTGCTGTCCCTTCCTCGGCTAGGCATTTTAACGCCAGGGAAGGGGCAGGGTCTCGGTCGTAGTCAGAACCTGCCGTGCTAGCATAGAGGCGCGATTTCCGCGAGCGGAAGCCGCGTGACAGCGCCTGCTCGCTGGGGAGGCCAGGCTGGCTGCGGGTTGCCGACTGTCTGACTGTCTCCGCGCTTGCGCCGCTTACGATGCTCACCTCACCCCTCTCTTTTCCCTTTCCCACTCTTGCTTCCTTCGCTATATCTGTGTGTCTTTCATGGTAAGACTAAAGAAAGTCTATCCGCGTTATAATAAATAAACTTCATATATTTTTAGTAAACCAAATTGTTGTATATAATTTTTGGCTGCCTTTGTCTCCTCTGTGTCTTGCTTTTGTTTTGTAAAATTCTCTCCGCAGCGCGCGTACACACACACGCACACGCACACGCACACTTCTCGTTTACATCTGTACACGGCAAAGAACTTCATTGCAAATTTAGTTCTCCTTCCTGCATTTGCATTCCTCTTCATGTTTCTGATATTTGGTTTTCGTTATCTTGCATTTTTAAAGCCTGCCCAGTAACACTCTAAGGTATTTGCTTCATGCCTAGAATTTCTTTCTTATGGAAGTAGTAAGGAAAGAATCTGGGTGATTATGTTCCCTTGGGGGGCGGGAAGGAAAGGAGAGAGCTGGCCGGGCCCCCAAGCCCTTCTCAGGTACGCTTGCCTTCCCTCCTGGCATTTCCCGTGCGGTCGGCCCTCTGCACCTGCAGGTCCCAGTGCTGACCTGTGGTTCTGCTGCCCTGTGCCCCGAGGGCCGTGTCTGTGTGGAACACAGACAGACTGCCTCCTCTCGTCATTATCCCTTCAATGATGTGGGAACACAAAGACTGGGTAGGATTCACAGCAGCGTCGGGCAGTGTGAGCTCTCCGAGGTGACTGTGTGCGCACAGGTTGTTTACAGATACCAGCCTTTTTATGTAAGGAAGTCGACTATCTGCAGATAATCAAGGTCCTCGGACCCCTGCAGAGGCCCAGGGACGACTGTCATACCAAGTTGTCCCGGGCAGCGTGGCAGCAGAGCAACACGATTATGACTCAGGTCAGAGCTGTCGGCATCCGGGTTAAACTCAGCCCCCGGCTTGCTGCGCACAGTGGGGTTAGTGTTTAGAAACGGCCCCAGGAGCCACCAATGAAAATCTGTCCCAAAGATGAGCCAGCCCGTCCTTGTCCTTGGGCATGCAAATCACAGAAAGATGGCTTTCTTTTGACACCTTCTACGAGAAGGCCATTGGAGAAGGCACCCCAGCTCAGGGATGTGGTGTGTCCCTGACAAAAAGCAGCGACGCTGGTCGCGGCCCCAGGGAACACTGTCCCCTTCCTCTGCCAGATGGTGGTTTCATTATCCCTCCTTTTCACTAAGAACCAGCGGGACCTCGTCCAGCTGCAGTCCTGATTATACGAGGATCTAACTCTTCATTTCAGGAGGATCTAAATCTGTTTTCATCAAGCCCTAAATCCTGGTATTTCTCGGTAACAACATTGAAAATTACATTTTTCCAATTTGACATGGATTTATAACAAGTGAAGTTCTGGAAATAATTTTTACAGTCAACTACCGACCAAGTTTCATAGCAGCCTAACAAGCCCAAGAGGTACTACATCTTCTGATGGCACGAGGGGCCTCTTGGTTCCATTCATATTCCCTGAAATCCCTTCCAATGAAATCGACGTTTTGTTTTAACCTAATCAAGGTGTCATTTGCTTAGTGGCTCCCACCCACCCCTCCCGTGTGCGTGTAACGCTTGGGGTTTTGATGGAGAAATTGCCGTGCGTCTCAGATTCTTCTCTTACTACTTGGCATCTGGAGTGTAAGTGTCAGCCACACAGTGAGAGAGCTACAGCTCTGATACCTACATCTTCACCTGGACTTTCAATCCACCATAAGCCATGAGAATTCTGTAATTCGTGTGCTGGATATCTTGGGTCTCACTAACCAGACATACATCCTGCCATTTCTAACCTGGGCCTCCGTTTCCGATTGCTCCAGCTGGCTCGAAAACAGAACGAGCCATTACCCGCTCTCCATCCGCCCCGCTGCTTGTAACGGAACCGGGGTGATGTGGCTTCTCGGCAAGGCCGTGCGCTCTCGCCGCAGGTGCTCCACACGATGCGGATCCTGGGGTCTGTGGCCTGAGGACCAGCCTAGGGAATTTGCCTCCCGTTTTGTTTCTCCGAAAGCATTTTTGTAATACCAGGTCATTTTGCTCTTGCATTTCACACTGCATGAAATGTTTCCAACCCTTTTATCTGAAGCTAGCAGTAGGTTGACAGAGGAGTTGCAAAGGCCGCTCAGCCAGTTCCCATGACTCCTCCGCCGGCTCCCGCCACGGACCGTGGGCCGTGACCGTGGTGCATTTATCAAGATTCAGAAGCGAGCATTGCTCTGCTGTTAGTTAGACTCTAGGCTCCGATCAGGCCCTGGTTTCTCCATTAAGGTCCTTTCTGCTCCCCAGGATCTGAGCTGGGAAACCGCGACAGCCCCTCAGTCTGTTCTTGTCATTGGCGACCTCGACGACACTGCAGAAAATCTAAATATAAACACACGGTCAAAAGCACATCGGGCTGAACCTCCGGGGTCTTGCCTGTCCTCCCAGTTCTCTTCATCTTTCCCTTTCCCTCCCACTGGCGAGGCTATGCAGTAGATGTTCCCCTTTCGTTAAAGCCTGCCCCTCCCTCTGCTGACCGTGAGTGAGGCAGGCTGAGAGCAAACACTCGGACTAGCTCCCCTGCTGTCGCTCCACGCCCGAAAAACCCACTTCACCGTCTCTGTTCCAGCCTCTGTGACTCCCTTTAATTTCCTCAAACGACTTAACGTCCTCTTCGGATTGTGTGGTTGAAAAGTAGTGATCCTGCAGTTCGAAGAGTAGTAATAATCTTCGCTACCGTTTTGGCCCACGAGATCTTGAGAGCCCATTCTTGGAACTTGCTAACCAAGTTACTGAAATTAGTGAGAGCCAACGGATATTTCCAGCATAAAAGCGCTCTGCATGACCCCGTATAGCTGCTTTGCATGTGTGTATTTTAGTTGTTGTTATTGCTCGGTAATAGTTTATTCAAGAAGTAACAAAATTCAATTTGGGGTTTGATTCTGGTAGAATTTTTTTGGGGGGGGGGTGCGACAGGTTTTTTTTTGTTTTGTTTTTAATTCTATTCTCTTCCACATTTATTAACTTGTCTCTTTAAGTGCAAATGGATACAATGATATGCAGATTCTGGCATGTCTATGCATAGGTAACTTTTTCTCCCCTCACAGTAAGTAAAATCTTGCAAATCTAGCCTTAATCCCCTGTAAGATGTCCCTGTTACGCTTTTTTTTTCCTATTCTTTCCTTTTTTTTACATGGAAGTCAGTTACGGGTTTGTTCTAGAACAGCTGTACACTGGCCATGCTCTCAGTCGGTTTCTGGAACTTTGAACTCTTTGGTCTTCTAGAGAATCCGAGTACCTGAAAGACGCAGATGAAGAAAAGGCCTCCCTGCAGAAGTCCATCAGCATCACCAGTGCCTTACTCACAGAGAAGGATGCGGAGCTGGAGAGACTGAGGAACGAGGTACAGGCCCGTCGGGGGACCGTTCCCGCGCCTCCCGGGCCCGCCGCGGGCCTAAGCCGGACACCTGTGTTTCAGGTCACAGTGCTCAGGGGCGAGAACGCGTCCGCCAAGTCCTTGCACTCGGTCGTGCAGTCTCTGGAGTCTGATAAGGTGAAGCTCGAGCTCAAGGTAAAGAACTTGGAGCTGCAGCTCAAGGAGAACAAGAGGCAGCTGAGCAGCTCCTCAGGTAAACCCGGGCCCGCCCCGCGCTGCCGCTCGCTGCCCCGGGCCGAGTCTGCTCCAGAGGCGCCAGGCGACGGCTGTGCCACCCCCGCTTTGCTGTCCTCGGCGCTCGTGCCACCTTGGTCACAGTCCAGGTCCCCCACACAGGCACGCCTGGTGTCCCACCCCTGGGCCATCCCAGGGTCTGTGAATGTCATCAGACATGACTGACAGCTGCCATCACGGCTTTGACCGTGAGGACACGCAGTGTCACAGTGAGGGAGGAGAGGTGGGCTCTGTGGTGGACAGTGACAGCTTCTTCAGGTTCCGATGGAGGTGACAGGCGTCCTACCCTGAGAGGGAAGACCTGGAGGGGCAGGGCCAGGCCGGGGAGGTCCCGTGGAGTTCCGGCGGAGTTCCGGCGAGGGGACGGGAACTCACCTCGGGTGCTCAGAGAGGTGCAGCTGGAAGTCCCCGTGGAAGTGAGCTTCTGACACGGGCTCTCTGACTGCAGTAACCAGGAGACGGGATTTTTGAACGGTCCCCACTTTTTTTTCTTGTTAAGGTAATACTGATACTCAGGCAGAGGAGGACGAGAGAGCCCAGGAGAGTCAGGTAACGCCCTGCCCTTACTGCCTCGCTCCCTTGCCGTCTTTCCGAAGTGTTAGCTTTGATTAGGCAGTGGCATGCCCATGGCCCGGACATCAAGCAGTGATCACAGTATATCCTTAACACCAAAACCTCCCCCAAGTGTGCCTCGCCAGCATGCCCAAACTCCCAGACACGTTATGGCTGTGTTTACTGTCTTGTCTTTCAAGAGATTTAGAAATACGTGTATAGGGGCCAGCAGGTGGCGTGAATGTCACCACAGACATGGCTGACAGCGGTTCGAGTTCTAGACCTGGCAGCTCGGACGTCACACTGGGCATGTTTGCCCAAAATCCCGGGAGAAGAATGGAGGCGAAGGGATTGTGGCGTGGTCATCTCCCTTGGGGGGTGATTTCTCACTTTCCTTTTCACTGTCTCTCAGTCTCTGTCCTGTAAGCGCATGTACCCTATGACAAAAACCGTAAAAAAAAAAAATATATATATATATATATATGCCAATACTAATACTCTCCCCCCACTTTTATCTTTTTTTTTTTTTTTTAGAGAGATTTTTGCTATAGGGCATGTGCACTCACTAGAGAGACAGACAGTGAGAAATCACCCCCCAGGGGTATGGCCACATTGCATTCCCCTCTCCTCTCGGGATCTTGGGCATACACGCACACACGCCCGGTGTGAGTTTAAGTCACCAGGTCCGGGACGAACTGCAATTGACTACATGGGAGTATCGACAGAGCCACTACGCCATCTGCTGGTCCCTCAGTTTTCTTATGAACAATCCGTGACAGTTATTTGGGGCACATGTACTAGTATTCCTGCAAGATCAGTTCCTAGGAGTAAAACTGCTCTGTCAAAAGTTTCCTTGCTCATCTGCCCCTTAAAAAGGCTGGGTTCTTGGGACCAGTGGATGGTGTAATGGTACATTGCTGGGCTCCCACATAGTCGAATGCGGTTCAAGTCCTAGACCTGGCGACTTAAAACTCATGCCAGGCACGTGAGTGTGCATGCCCAAAATCCTTAGAGGAGAATGAAGAAGGGATCGTAGCATGGCCATCCCCCCTGGGAGGTGATTTCTTGCTTTCTGTCTCTCCAGTGAGTACATATCCAAAATCTCTTTTAAAAAGAAAAAGTGAGGTTCTTGAAAACTCAGTTTGTTCGTATTTTAATTTTCGTAGGGATCAAATCTTCCTGTGTTGGCTAGGCTGCCCTCACGGCTGTCCTGCCTCAGCCCCCCAAGTGGCTAGGACTACATGTGCACGTCACAACACCCAGCCCTGAACTCAGACTCCTAGAGCCAGAGTAAACAAAACAGCTCCACTTGTTGAAATGGCATTACATGGGCACCAGCAGATGGCGTAATGGTTATGTCACTGGACTTGCACATGGCCAACCGCGGTTCAAGTCCCAGATCTAGCAGCTTGAAACTCTCACCAAGTGCATGTATGCCCAAGATCCCAAGAGGAGAATGGAGGGGAAGGGATTGCGGCATGGCCATCCCCCCCAGGGGGTGATTTCTTGCTTTCTGTCTCTCTGTCTCTCTCCGTCTTTCTGGCGAGCACATGCGCCCTATAGCAAAAACCTCTCCCCCCCCAAAAAAAAATGGGCATTATGTGGACACAAACTGTTATATGAAACTGTAAGTGGCATAAGCAACATATTCTAATTTTAATATATTTTATATATATTCTGTTCAAACTTCCAAGGTACAAAAACGATCTTTCTTTTTTAAAAAAAATTATTTAATTTTGTTATTATTTATTGTTATTATTATTTTAATTTGTTATAGGGGACATGTGCTTATCAGAGAAGGAGAGGGAAAGTGAGAAAGCAAGCCGCCAGATCTGGGACTTGAACCATGATCAGCGATGTGGGAGTCCAGCGTCGCAACCACCATGCCACCTGCTAGCCCTTTTTTTTTTTTTAAGTTTGTTATAGGGCACATGCATTTACCATAGAGAGAGAGAGAGAACAAGAACATGAGTAATCACTCCCCCCTGCTGGGGAATGGCCCAACTGCAATCCCTGCTCTGAGTATTTTGGGCACGCACACACACACATGCCCCTGGTGTGATTTTCAAGCCACCAGGTCTAGGATTTGAACCGTAAAGTTGGCCATGTGGGATCCTACCACCTTAGCTGACATGCTACATGGCTGTCTCCCATCTTACTTTTTTTTTTTTTTAAAGAATTGTTTTATTTAACTTTATTTAAGCAAGCTACCAGGTCCAGAACTCAAACCACGGGCAGCCATGTGACCATCCAGCGCCCTTAGAACACCTGTTGGCCCTTTTACTTGTTTTTTTTTTTTAAGAAAGATTTTTGCTATAGGATACACGCGTTCGCCCGAGTGACAGAAAGAGACAGAGAGACAAAGAGAGAAGTCACCCCCACGGGGGATGTGTGTGTGTGGCCATGCCACAGTCCCTTCTCCATTCTCCTCTCGGGATCTTGGGCACGCATGCACACGTGCCTGGCATGAGTTTTAAGTCTCTAGGTCCAGAACTCGAACTGCAGTTGACTGTGGGAGCCCGGCGACAGACGTAACCATTATGCCATCTGCTGATCCCCAGCTCCCTTTTTTAAATGAGAGGGAAACTCAGTTTGAGACCTGGCGTGGTCACCTGCCATCTCCTTTGAGGGGCATGAAAGGGTCCGGCAGGCCCTGGCTTACCCGGTTGGTCGGCACCGTGTCTAGAGCGGCCCTCTGTGGGCGGAAGACCTCACTAACGCTGTTTTCTCTCCCCTTCCCTTCTGCTTCCGTTTGTTTCATCTGCTGCTGACAACACTTTTCTTCCCATCAGCAAATGGTTTGTTTTCTGTTTCCTAATTTATGTGTGCACGCTTGTATGTCTGAGTGTGGTCTCCCGCTCTGCCTACGTCCATTTTGTGGCTTTTTCTTCTTTCGGAATGGAGCTCTTAGCACGATAATGACTTAGACCGTGCAGTTGGAAAAGTGGACATAGACTCAGCAGGTCTGCCCTCCGAGGTAGCCTTGCTGATGCTGGGGTAGGAATACTGCGGAGAAAGAGAAGGGATCGCTAACTTTACTTCCCAGCCTGCCCCAGCAGGAGAAAAAGACCACATATTTCTTTGCAAAGTAAAATATATGTATGTATGCATGCATGTGTATCTATGTACATATTTTTAAAATATTGTAAAGTAGGAGCTGTGCATTTTGAGAAATGAGACCGCTATATTACTGGGTTAGCAGAAAAGTCATGACGCATTTTTGCATAGGGAGAAATATGTCATGACTTTTCCGACAACCCAGTATTTGTGGAAGAGGAAGAAACTCTTTATTTAAGGAACTTGCACCATCAGGACAAAAGTATTTCCTGCGGGCGGCATCTCCTTAGCCCACGGCCCAGGGAGTCTCCGAGCAGGCACTTGCCGTGTGCGGGGCCTCCGCATGGCCTCCGGTGTGCACCCACGTGTGCCTCCTCGGTGAAAGGGACTTCAGCCGTCTCTTAATCTTGTCCATTTCCCCCGAAGACACATTTACTAACCGCTCAGCCATCACCAACTGGCCATTATGGCCATTAATTGGCGGTCTGAAGAGAACCTCCAGGTAACTTTCAGATCCATAGAATGGAAAAGTCCGGGATTGGTTCTGCAGTGTAGTGGGAGAACTAACCGTTTAGGTATTTTCTAATATTGTGCATATATATATATGTGTGTATATATATGTGTGGTAGGAGGAGGAAAAAAAATTACGCCCATATATCCAAAAGTGTAAAATGATGACTTTTGGAGAATACAAGGTATTTTTCCTATTCAACAAAATAAACATTTCTTCTACTTTTCCACACCTTGGTAGCACGCCACCAATCCATAGATGTAGATGTTCAAGTGTAATTTCATTGGCCTCATTAATAAATGAAGCATATCTGGTTACAGCTGGAAACATCCAGCAAAATATAATTTTAAGAATTACAAAATAGGGGCCAGCAGGTGGCGCGGTGGTTAAGGGTGCTAGACTTCCACATGGCTGACCACGGTTCGAGTCCCAAACCTGGCAGCTTGCTTTCTCTGTCTCTCTCTCTCTCTCTCTCTCTCTCTCCTCTGGCCAAATTGAAATAAATAAATTTAAGTAAAATAATTCTTAAAAAATATATATAACATCCAATCAGTAAGGAACGTTAGAAGAAAACTGAAAGATAGAAAAGGGGAAAGAAACCTTATTGCCTAAGCGCGGCCTCAATTTAGGCCAGTCATTTGGTCCAGCACCCTCAGCGTTCCTCTTCCTTGGGGACATTAAAAACGGGCTTCCGTGGCCCCCTGCTGGCCCCTTCTGTGGGCCCAGGGCCCTCTGCAGCCATAGCCCCAGGCTGTAGCCGGTGATTTCACGATACTCCCAATTTATGGCTGTGGACATTTTACGCACCTCACTGCTTCTTTCTCTCTTTCTTTCTTTTTCTTACAAATCAGATTGATTTCCTGAATTCAGTAATCGTGGACCTTCAGAGGAAGAATCAAGACCTCAAGATGAAGGTGGAGATGATGTCAGAAGCAGCGCTTAACGGGAACGGGGATGACCTGAACAGCTACGACAGGTACCTCACGTTCGCCGCCCCGCTTGACCTTAGCGCTAAGCCCTGAAATAAATGTGTGTCCTTGAAATGAAGGTGGCCAGCGGGTTGTACAGACATACAAATGGCAGGACGAAAGAACAAAACCAATTGCTTTGTGCCTGCCTTCCCCTAAAGAGATTTCCAATCCTGGACGGGGGACGTGCTACCCACGCGGAGGCTGCAGCCTCGGCCACGATTAGCTCTCGCCCGAGCTCCTCATTCCTTACGAACCTTGCCGTCTCTCGAACCTCCCTCAGATACGTTTCTGACTGTACACGTTGTCCTCCGCAGTGACGACCAGGAGAAGCAGGCCAAGAAGAAACCGCGCCTGTTCTGTGACATCTGCGACTGCTTCGACCTCCATGACACGGAGGATTGTCCCACCCAGGCGCAGATGTCCGAGGACCCCCCACATTCCACGCATCACGGCAGTCGGGGCGAGGAGCGGCCCTACTGTGAGATCTGCGAGGTGTTCGGGCACTGGGCCACCAACTGCAACGACGACGAGACCTTCTGATGAAGCCGGAGCCGGGGACCGGGCTTTCTCGGGCCCGGCCGTGTCCAGCACTGCAACACCAGCATCATGCGTGCACTTCGGGACAACTCCCGCCGCTTTTGACCCCGTCAACCAACCTAAGAAACTATCTTGATCTTCACCAGATCGTCCTGTAGTCTCCCCTCCTCAGTTAGAAAGAAATATTTAGTGCGTTTCCCCTCCCCTTGGGTTCCCTTGAGTTTTCCGTTTTGATTCATCGCCCCCAGAGAACCTCAGAGAGCACTCCCTGCCCCTGTGCCACCTTATTTAAACATCGTTAAATTATGCCCTGCCTTTTCATATTTGCACTAAGATATTTCCAGGCTGCATTTGTATATTTAGATTTTTTTTTTTGGTCAAGCTTTGACACTGGAACGAGCTGGAAAAACGTGGTGGTGTGCATCTTCACCTACTCATTTGAAGTATTGTAGTAACCAGAGGCCCCGAGCTCTCAGCGCTGCCTGCCTTCAGCAGTCCCTTTACTTCAGGCTTGACACGGAGGTGTGGCTAGAAAACCACGAGACAGGCCAAGGGAGGGGAACGCCCAACTGCTGTGGGGACATTTTACAATTATATGCTGCACCCACACACTCTACGGTGGTGTTTTGTTTATTGGTTTTACATAATTTCAGCTTCTATATATTATATGTATATATTTTTAAAAAAATCTATATTTTGGGAAAAAAAAAGCATACACAAGGTGTCTTTCTTTTCAGATTTTTACCTTTACGAGAAAAACATATGAACTATCAGGACACAACAGACTAGGCCACACACAGCATATTGCGTGGCTTTGTAACTATTTTTTTCTTCGTGTTCTCATTTAGTTTCTTTACCAGATCTAAACAACTGGGAGAATTTTTCTCCAAATTTGTGTTTTCCTTCTCTAGCCAATATCCCCAGCAGTCGATTAATTCGCTAATAAGCCACTGTAAAACACCTAAATTAACCAACCTACAACCTTCCTTTCCCAGTTTTTTAACTGTTTTTAGATGAATGTATGATGAGAAATTCCACATGAATAATTTTGGATTTTCTTATCACCAAAATAAACTGAAGGACCTCAATTACCAGAACAGTTTACCAGCCGGTCTGAATCTATCTATCTTCATTTGAATGTCTTGTAGAATATGTAAAAAGTAATGAAATGTATCTTCCTTGCAACATGGACAGTAAGAACCTCTACGATTGTAGACATGCCTTTGATGTATTCTCCCCCAAGATGACCAACTGTGTCTGACAAGCGAATATGAAGTAAATCTCTTATCAGTTGAAATTTTGGATTATAGACATAATAGGAACTATCTGACAAACAGAAAACGCATAATGCAGTATTCAAACATGAGCAAACAGGTGTTCTGTATCTACTTTAATAAATGGTTTCTCCTTTTTGGCCAGTGGTGGTAAACTGTCCTCAGATTCATTTGTCGTCATGGTTTTTCGTCAGTGAGCGAGCCCTGTGTACTCCAGTACTAACTTCCACTATAGTCTTCTTGATGAGCAGCTTTTCAGAAACTGCTGTTCTCTCCCGAAGCACTTTGTGACCCTCTTAGCCCAACGTCCCAAGGTCGTTACCCCCAGTGTATCACACACTTATATGACAGAAACAAGTGGCACAATTGACACCGTGTAGTAACAAGTATCTATTTTTTTAAAGAATTATTTCATTTTTATTTACTCATTTATTTATTTAAATTTGACAAGAGAGGGACAGAGTACAAGAGAGAAATAGAAAGCAAGCCACCAGGTCCAGGACTAAAAACTGCAGTCAGTCATGTGGGAGTCCAGCACCTTTAACCACTGTGCCACCTGCTGGCCCCCCAAGTATCTATTAATCCATGAAGTTTTTCTACCCCCCCCCTTTTTTTAAGTTTTTGCCATAAGGCTTGTGTGCTCGCCCAAGAGAGAACAACAGTGAGAAGGAAAGTGAGAAATCATCGCACTGCAATCCCTTTCCCTCCATTCTCCTTGGGATTGTGGGCATGCACACACATGTGCCCAGTGTGATTTTCGAACTTCCAGATCCAGGACTCAAACCGGTACATATTTCCAAAGCAGAGTTACTCCTTGAATTAGGAACATTACTCTCATATCAATATACCCTAAGACAGTTCTCGACTTTGACTTCAGTGAAAAGCACTATAAATACGCCAGCAGTATACAGACGGAACTACAGCTCCTGGTCTTCAGATACCCGTCACTCGATCACCGAGCCTCCTGCTTGTCTCCGGGATGGTCACTCATCCTGGTCTCGCTCAGTGACACACACGCTTGAGATTTTGCTAACCCTTGGTCGCCCTCTAACGTCACGACGAGCCTGCTGAGTTCATCACCTGTTCTCAGGTGTTGACTGACCCGTCCTCTGTTTCGGAAAGTGCCGTGACCACGACGTACCCTGAGAACCTCTGTGAACACTGGGTTGAGCACTGGAGCCTGGAAGTCTGCATGCGTGGTAACAAGTTACGGCAGCATTTAAATGTCCCAGGACCAACAGGTGGCGTAATGGCTACGTTGCTGGACTCCCACGTAGCTGACCGCAGTTTGAGTCCTGGACCCGGTGGCTTAAACTCATGCCAGGTGCCTTAAACTCATGCCAGGTGCGTGTGCGTGCATGCCCAAGATCTCGAGAGGAGAATGGAGGAGAAGGGATTGCGGCGTGGCCATCCCCCAGCGGGTGATTTCTCCCTGTCTGTCTGTCTTTCCAGCGAGTGCACATGCCCTATAGCAAAAATCTCTCCAAAAAATCACATGCAATGTCTTTGCTTGGAATCAGGAAGTTGAGTAGGAAAGCTTTTCTGTTGCTAGTTTGCTAGTGGGTGCCTGTGCTAGCCAAGAGAGTGAAAGGGAAAAAGAAACTGCCGCCAGGGAGAGATGGCCACGCTGCAAACCCTTCATTTTCCTCCCGGAGCCTTGGGCGGGCACCCACACGTGTCTGGCATGGTTTTCAAGCCAGGGTCCAGGACTCCAACTGCAGCCGGCCATGTGGGACGCAGGCACGGTAACCACCGCCATCCGGCTGGCCCAACAAGCGAAGTTTCGACTGACTACTTTTCTGCATTATCTCCAAATTGCACTCGTTGCTTATTCAGACTCTAGGGTAATTGCTTAACAAGTCTTAATAACAAAGTGTACAAAAGATACTGAAAAGAAAACCGTACACGAGATTTCAAGTCCATTTTCACCCCAATTATATATTAATATATTAAAGCACATATATCACCTTAATCATTATTTTTTAAACAATTACGTTCCGGGCAGCCTAAAGCTTCTATGTGAATTTCATGACGTAATTTACCTCCCCTGCGATCCTTGCCATTCATGACGTAACATGAATTTTACTGATGAGGCCAGTGGTGGGACCTGGCGCGGTGGTTTGAAATACCGGCTGGCCATAACGGTCTATTAGGAAGGGCTTCAGAACGAGAAAGCACTCAGAGGTTCCTGAATGTTGGCTCCAAAAGTGCTTTCACATGCAGAGATTTCCACTTATGTTCAGTCTCAGGTTCCCGATTACAGCATGCACACCTGCTAAGAAGTGATTTTTTTTTTAAAAAAAGGAATTATTAATTTTACTTATCACTTTTTTTTTTTTTTTTTTTTTTTTTTTTTTTTTTAGTTTGCTCCAGGGCCTGTGTGCTCACCAGAGAGAAAGGAAGAGAGAGAGAAGTGAGAAAGCAAGCCACCAGGTGTGGGACTCGAACTGCAGTCAGACATGTGGGAGTCTACCTTAACCACCACGCCATCTGCTGGCCCCAGAAGTCGCGATTTTTAAAATTTGCTAGAGAGAAGGAAAGTAAGAAAACACCCCCCTCTGGGGGAAATGGTCGTGCTGCCATCCCTTCCCTCTTTCTCCTTTCGGGAGTTTTGGGCAGGCACGCACAGGCGCCAGATGCCGGGTTTGAGACTCGAACCCCAAAACCAGCCATGTGAGATTCAGCCGCCTTCACCATCGCCCTCTGCTGGGCGGAAGTGGCGACTTTTAATGAGCTGAGTGAGAACTCTTCCGGCTGAGGCGGCCTTGGGTCTAGGCGAGCAACCGGGGAGGCCGCGAGGTAGCAGGACACGGCGGACACTAGGGCCCGACCGGGACCCGCCGAGCCGGCTCCCCGCAGCTTCCGGGGCAGGCTGGGGGCGAC